CACTTCAATTTATTAATATTTACCACCTACTTTTACCTCAACTAACTCAAGCATGGACTGTTCACCAATTATGTAAGGAAATAATGAGCAAATATGGAGTGCTAGAATGTGACCTATGTTATTATTCTTTACAATTCCTGTCACTTCTACAGCAGCTGAAAGGTCATTTAGCAAATTAAAAATAATAAAAAATTACTTAAGAAATAATATGGGCCAAACTCGATTCCGACATTTATCGCTAATAACAATTGAAAGCAAAACCGCATCAAGCCTGGATTTAAACGAAGTCATTGATACTTTTGCGAAAACTAAAGCTAGAAATTTTTTTTAAATATAATTGTTATTTAGTCAGTTGTTAGGCCCGACCTTTATATAATAAGCCCTTGAATCTTCTCTATTTCGTTTTATTAGCCAAACCTACACCAAGTATTAATTGTAATTTATGTTGTTACTGTTATTTAATATTTTTATTACCTGCCCAGCAGTGCACAAAAAAGAGCTTAAGTATAGCATTTTTAAAGTATTTGTATATTTCATATTTTTATTTGTAAAACCTAATCAGTTTACATAGCAGTAGGGCCCCATTTTTTAATTTGCCCCAGGGCCCTTGGTTACCTAGCTACGCCCCTGTGTATGCCTGCTCTAGTTCCGGTTAGAAAGTTTGAAGCTGCTTACTGCATGTTATCCTGCGAGGCGATATTTTCAAACGGATAATTTTGTTTTCAATAAAAGAAATAAATTAGATAATTTCTGAGCTCAAATCTGCCATATTTCATAAGGTATTAATGTTATTACGTAATTCTGGGGAGTTTAAAGTGAATTTTTTTTTAGTTATTTAGAGATATATTGTTAAAAAAGGTGACATGGTTGCCAGATTTTGAATAACTTGCTTTTTTGCAGTCTTGGTATGGTCTCTTTCCATAAGTTTGTTCTTGTTGCAAGCTGTGCACCATCTTACGTTAGTGTTAACACTTTTAGCATTGTAACTTTTTAGTAACTAGCATTGCACTTTTAGCAGTAGAGTAGAATGAAGTATTGTTAGCATTGTAAACACAAGTAATAAGTAATCAAATACATTGTTTGCAAGAATCTCAAAACACAATGATGCCAAAAGACTTTAAAATGCAACGGAAACAGTAACCCGGAAATTTAGGTAGTACCGAGCTTGCAGCGTTCCCTAGTGTAGAAAAACACCATCCATGTTGAAATAAAAATTCTACTTCATTCTATTCAAAAAAATTTAATGATTCATTACAATTTAAATATTTACTAATTTTTATTTACTGAAATTTATTTTTATTTACTTACTTAGTTAAATTAATTTTAATTAAATTTGACTTTTCCCCCCAAAAAAGGATTTTTGAACGTTTTTTTGGAAAATATTTTTTGCAAATATTATTTAATTATATATATTTTTACAATAGTAATTTTCATTTGATTAAAAATTGGAAGAAGAGAAATTTTGTGTTGAAGTGCAACCTTTTCCCTATTCTTCTCTACGTTTGAGGCAATTGTCCAATGGTGGCTCTCGATTTCCTTATTAAGGAGGATATTTTATGCCAGCAAAAATGTATCCATTATCTGGCGCTCCACATTATGTAATCGAAAAATCGATATAGTAACTAGAATATATTTTCATCGAGTCTGTAGAATAAACAGAGAATATCTTGTTTACCGGCCTTGTTACTGTTTATTAGTTTAACAGTTTGAATATTATTAGATTGTCGTTTTAAGATTGACAAAACATTACTTCTAGACCTGATGGCTGAGTCATCTCAAGAGAACGGTAGCAAACAGTTGGAAAAGGAACTGTTCAAGTACACTTTGGAGTGTAATTATGAACAAGCCAAATATCTTATAACTGTTGAAAATGTACATGTAGATTGTGTAGACGAAGATGGTACTACTCCTCTACAACAAGCTGCTTACAAAGGTGACTATAAATTATGTAAACTTTTTCTTGATTGTGGGGCTAATGTCAATGCAACTACTCACGTATCAAGATATAGTGCTCTTACATTTGCAAGCTTATCTGGGAATATTGATGTTGTTAACCTACTCTTAGAACATGGGGCTTCAACAACATCTGTCAATTCTATCAACAAAACTGCTTCTCAAATGGCTGCATTTGTAGGTAATCATCATATTGTAAGCATAATCAACAATTATTTGCCCATTGAAGAAATCGAATACTTCACGAAAATTCATGGTTTAGAAAAAGAACCTAAGCTCCCTGCAGTGCTTAGCCAACCAGTTCACAAACTTGTTGTTATAACTAACATTAATCCAGTGAAAATAGCAATGTTTATTCAAGCTACTCCTGTTATTCTTGATAATTCTATAAAAGTTGCTCGTGTTTTGAATATATTGTCAGAGAAAATGTTTAAAGATCAATGTAACGAGCTTTTGTCCTTGAAATATCATCATTTGGCTTTCGTGTTAAATGCTTGTGAAAAGTTTTACTTGGAGCAAAAATCCAAGTGTTCAGAAACAACAGAAAAATTTGGGAAGGATGTCTTAACTCCACTTATCAAGCGGTGGATTTGTGGAGATAAAAATGGTTTTCCTATTGGCTTAGAAAAATTTCTCCGCCAAGATGTTCGTGAATACCCTTACCTCGAATGTACTTTGTTTCAACAATTAGTTCGCACTCTTGCTACTGGGAATATAGGTGAAGAACCCAGTGCTATATCAATTATTAATGAAGCTGTAACTGGTCAGAGAGGTTTTAACATTACTACATCATGTGTTACTTGTAGTGATCCTAATGCTGAAAAGAAATGTTCTGCGTGTAAATCTGTGCAATATTGTGATAAAACTTGCCAAAAGCTACATTGGTTCACACATAAAAATTTCTGTGCTGAACTAAAAAAAACATATGAAGAGGAAAAGCTGAAAGAAGTGGAAGAAGGGGTGGAGAATAATTCTGAAGCTAAAGAGTTATAATAAATTTCTGATGAGTTTATTCAAAGGAAAGTTTAAGATCTTAAAAAATTTAAAAGATGTAGTCATATAAGCATGCTTTGTGTAAAATGCTGTTTGTTTGTCAGATTTTGAACAATATTTTGTCTTTTAAAATTTCATTTTGTGCAAATTTCATATTCTTATTTATATCTTTGTATGCTTCATAACTTACTTAAAGTTAGAGCTGTGAAATTTTTTTTTTAAATAACAAGCTTTGTTTTCAAGTCCAAAGAGTAATTTATAATTAAGTTAAATTCTTTTGTTTTTATCAATAAATTTGAAATTTTATTTAGAATTTTTATTATGTTACCTAAAATTATATTAAAATTAGATCTTATAAATACTTGTTTTTATTTAAGGTGCAACTATATAAATTTTCTGGCTAGGTTTTGTTTAGTTTTAAATTTCTTCTATGAAATATTTTTTGTAAATTAATTTTTTTTTTAAATGGCCCCTTAGGAATTTTTTATGTAAAGATGAATTTAAAGTTCTTTTTATTCCTTTAATTAATAAAGTGTGAAAATTAGGATTTATAAGTTTTTAATCCTCTATAAAGCTGAAAAGTAAAGTATAATAATTTTGCAATTACTATTTTGTATATATGTCTCAGCAGTTAATTAATGAGTACCACGTTGGACAAAATATTTTTTGCTAAATTGATCTATGAATGTTTGAAATGAAAACAAAATATGTTCTAAAATAACAAAAAAAAAAGAAGAAATTTTTTTTTATTTTTTTTAACTAAGAAGAAGCTGAATTAGAGAGTTTTTTGTATCTTGATAGCTTTGCAAGATAACTCCAAGTAACCACGGAAGAAACCCAAAACAAAAAAGATAAAAATTACAGTAGGAAGCATACTTATAGGGTGTAACTCGTAACCATCCCTGGACAAGCTATAAAATATTTTGAAAATGCAAAATCCCTTTGGCCCTTTGCCAATAGTAAGAGGCAGAAATAGGTTCTGTTATGAAAACATCCCCCACTTCATTGCTATAAGAATATGTTGAAAATCAAAACAAATGACCAAATTTAATGCATTCAATAATTAGTGGAATGAATTCTAATGTAATTTTGATCATAATTTTTTTTTTTGCTAACACTTTTCTACTTATGGAAACAGCATGATTTTGATGTTCTAACTTTCTGGATCACTCCCAGATATGGAGACTCAAATCAGGAATGGTACTAATATCTGAAGATTCTGTGTGTGTTCCTTTAATAATCATACTCAGAATTCTAAAGCAGGGTATTGTCATCGCGTATCAAATGAAGATGTTGTGATATCTATACCATTTTTGCAATGCATTCATTTCCGAATCTTTCTCTTTTTTTATTTTTATGTTGCTATATGCCTTCCACTTGTCTTCACATGAGGCAGTTATTAAGGGTGATATTCAAAATTCTGACTGCTACCCTAGAAAGTGTTGCTGTACTGCAATAACCTTTCCACTAAGTCACTAGAGATATTTTATTGTGTTTTTTTACTCCAAAGCTTTTGTTTTGCACCACATTCTCCTATATTGACACTGTAACTTAATTTAATCAGAAGTGCTTTTTGCAACTGTAACTTCATTTAATCAGAAGTGTTTTTGCAACTGTAATTACTGTTTCAATAGCTGTCATTGAGATTTTTTGTGACCAATTTTGCAGACAACAAAAGATTTGTATCTGAGTTTACTTTTTAACTGCAATAGCCATTAGAGTGGCGCCTTCTGCCACTACCTCTCACATGTGCTGAACTTTCACTAATTTCACCCTTTTTTTTTGTTGCCTAATTTCTATCGAAAGACTTGATGAGTCCTTAAACTGCAAGAGTATAATATATTGCACACAAAGACCATCCACAAACTGCACAAAAGTGATTGAGGTATCTTATCTATTCTCCTCTATTTGTTTCAGAATTTTTTGGACATTTGACTAATAATATGATGAAAAGTAAACTTAATTAGTTGAATTTTCCTATAAAGCATTTTTAAGGGCAAATTAGGGGTCATATACTTATTTTTATTTACTATCATTAGAATTTGAAAGCAAAATTTGTTTGATGGAAATTAGTTGTGGCAAAAATTTAAATTTGTCTCTTTGTATAATTTATTTAAAATAATTTTAATGCATAATAATAATAATCACAGAATTTTTTTAAATGATCATCTGAGGGGTTGTTTACAATTTTTTTAAAAAGTTTTTTTCGAAACTGGTGAAATATTTTAGTATTTTTTTTTCAAATCTTCATATTTTTAATTAACAAAATTGCAATTTTAGATGCAATATTGAATCCTCAAATTGACTTTCAAAGAGATATGATACCATTTGAGAGCTTAATAATGTTTCAAAACAACTAATAAAAAAGTTATATAACTTAAGTGAAATTACTAAATGTTATTATAAAAATGTATTTTTTTTTTTTCATTTTAAATTTTATTCAATCCAATAATACCTTTAAAGAATCATTTTTATTACAGTTCAATATCAGAGATATTTTTTACTCGTCTGCAAGCTTATTTCACTCATTAAAAATCGGTAATATTCCTAAAAAAACAAGTTGGGTGTGTTTTTACTCGTATTTTAAATAACAATAGAGTGAAAATGCATGATTCTTTCTCGAAATTTTCTTAAATTTTTTCTCTCTGTTTCTCTTTACCTTTTAACTTTGTTATAGTAGTAGCAATACCTTTACTTATAAACAACTGAATGTGAATAAGGGTTTTTAAACCTAAACGGGTAAAAATTATAATAGAAATTGACACACAAATAGTTGGAAATAATTACTTGAATATCAAAGCAAGGATCTGAATTTAATATCAAAATAGTAATGTTTGTGATTTCAATTTCGATAATGCTATAGAATCATGGGAAGAGAAATTTAAATATTTATTTAAATTTTAAATATACAAAAAAATTTTGAAGTCAGTTTCTGTAATTTAAAATTTCATTATTTTTTACTATTCTAAGGTGAATTTTACTCTTTCGAAAAAAGTCAAGGAGTATTTTTAGTCTATGAAAATGAATCCCAGCTACGGCTCTGGTACAATTTGGAAAAACATGTTTCTGAAGTTTTATATTACTACACTAATTTCTGCTTTTTTTTTCTTCCTAAAGCTGCTGCGGTATGTCTGGCCTCATTACTTTGTTCGAGGTTGAACTAAATCAGTGATTTAGCTGTTATAAATCAGGTTGTTTTATTGTACTCAAATACACTGTCACAAAATTAATGTTGCTTTGTGTATGCGGACATCACCCTCTATTTAAAACAATGGTTAGTCATAATTTCTGGACAAAGTAAATTTGTGAGATGAAATTTTGGTTTAAAAATTGTCTTTCAAGTTAGCTTTAAAAAATTGTGGGAGAATTTAGAACCTGTTAGTTGTTATTAATAATCGTTAATGCATATTTACCTCTTTATGTATAATAATAAAATCAATGAAAACATTTAAAGTTAGCAAAGAATTTTTAAAAATAATTATTGTAATGTATTGAATAATTTTAAAGGCATAATACTGTTCTTTACAACATCAGAATGCAATTTGCCTGTCCAATTCTGCTAATAATGCTTAATATCTTAACTTAATATGGTCTAACACATGGTACATTCCCTCTGCCAGAAAACATGCCAAACTTACAGTAAAAGTAGCACTTTTTGCAACATTACAATGTTAATTATGTTAAATTCCTAATTAAGATTACTTTTAATTCTTTTGGTGCCAGGGCAATTGGAACACATTTTCTTAATATCCAAATTTAATATGTTATATAGCATAATTGATTATTTATGTTGGTAGTTCTCTCTAAATCATTAGAGTTCAGATTCAACTGTTGTGAACCTGAACAAAGACAACTGTCTTTGTTCAAGCTTTCATCTATCAAGTTCAGTCTTGCTTTGTGTATTAAATTCAAAGAGATATGAGTAAACAATATGACAAATCTTAAGTAAAAAACTAACTTAATTTTATTTATGTGGATTAAAGTGTTAGAATTATAGCCTGTAGTTTTTGTTTAAATGGTATAAAATTAACTAATAAAATTTTTTATGGAAGGTTAAAATATTTCATAAAAAAAAGTCTGCAAAAAAAGTGACTTTTTTTGAATTAGGAATGGAGAGTAGAGGAAAACTTTCCATTTTGAAAATTTTTCTTCCTCACATCACCGCATACATGGACAATGCAGATTACTATTTTTATATTTTGTAAATTAACTTGGAAAAAAAAAATTCTTAGAATCACAAAAACAGCTTTATTTCCACTCTGCTACCTATTTTTAGTAATTTCTTTTCTTCATGAACCATTTTTCATGCATTTTTAGTAGTACCACTTTTATCATATGCGAAAAGCAAGTAAACTAATATTACCACCCAGTTAATTTCAAAATTCACTTTTATTATGAAATTTTTTGTATCGTCAAATATACATTACATAAATAAAAAGTTTGTCTGAGTTATATCAAATGTTTTTTTGCTGGCAGTTATTCCGTTAGCACTCCCTTACAAATTTTATAAAAACATAGGAACTTACACGAAGTTATTATTTAAGAATACTTATCAAGCATTTTATAACCAAAAAAAAGAAATTAAGATTATCAAATTTAACAATTTTATTACTGCTTAACTTAAAATTTCATAAAAATTATGGAATAAAAATCCCTCAAAATCTAATTATGTAAAGACACCTAAGAACATGATTTCTAGGCAATATCATTCCAAAACCTGCCTTCAAACAGGCCTTCCCTCTCCTTGACCTGTCGCACCACTGAGTTTTTTTTTTTTTTTAAATAAAATTTAATGCATATAGTACAAGATTTGAAACAGCAAGAATGCAATTTTTATTTATCTAAATAATTTTATACAGAATTTTATTAGCTAAAAAATTTTAATGGTTGACTAAGTTTTTCTACATTGAAGTAATAAATTTCCTTTTTCAGTTCACATTTTATTTTTATTACATCACCTATCCTTTTTTCTGAATTTTATCTTGTTGATTCATCAACAATATATAAATGTAGTCCTGATCATTATCTGAATTGTAAATCATTGCATATGTCAATGAAAAAGGATTATCTTGTTATAATTATCAATTAATCAAATAATTTTTCTGAACTAACTCTATTCTACAATTACGGTTAATTGTATATTTGTTAATTATATATTTGAAAATAA